AGAGATGTCATCAGAAGTGAGGATGTGCGTTGCAAATGAACATTTAGTATTCCCAATGTTGTAGCACCTATACTAGAAAGGCCGGGCTCGTGCACAGCGTGGTAATCTCTGAGCTAATAATACGGAAGGATAAACGCTGCCATGAGTTGGATCGGAAACTATCAGAACTGGAGAAAGCAAGCATGATTTTATGTATATAATGATTATGCGGGGAAGTCGATACGTGATTGAGACTTTTATTTGAACATGAAAATCGAATGAAACATGGACGCCATCATGAAGGCTCCAAAGCTGTTTACGATCACAAATAGGTAAAGCAATGAACGAAATACCTAAATACATAGATATATTCGTAGTCAACTAACCAGAAAGAACTGATAACACGTGTTGTCTTTTTGTGTACATTTGATTAACCTTTTTTCTGCTTTTTTATTTTTGTTACAGGTACCCGGAGAGCGGCATATTCACCTTCTGTCCTCTTTTCCGGGGAGGACGCGGTATCGTCGGCTTCGATGCAGGTGGCCGTAGAAGGGCTGACTGTCGACGTGGCAAACGTCGTAGAAGGCGTCAGTTTAATGATGGCCATGCATTGGGCCTTCGACATTGAGTATCGGCCTAGTGCGAAGAACACCTTGGTGGTCCTCGAGCGAGCAATGGGCGTTAAGGAAACCACTATAACCCTGACTGCTCTAAAGGTTATTGGAAATCTTTAGGTTATTTCGGCATTCAATTTAAGCTCTACTCGGTGTTCGGTAGTGCACGCCGAAATGTCAGCACGTAGGTGAAACAGTGTTGCGGGCACTCTAAAATTGGAACATAAAAAAGCTATTCACATGTTCCAATCCCTGCATGTACCCAACACAATTTCTGCTCCAAGGGGTAGTGTCATTTTGCGGGACACTGCCGAACACCACAAAAACACAAATCCACTGTTAAAAATTACGTCCTACAGCTTCAAATAAAATGGTTTTGTAATTTTCCAAATATGTAGTGAAAATAAAGACTTCAATCATGACTACCTCTTTTTGTGAATCTTTCTTTCAGTGGTGTCAATATTGAGAGTATGAACTGATGCCTTAGAAAGCACCCCTGCTTTACTAAGCACTCTAGCAGCTCTTACTTGGGGAATTTGCTTCCCAAAAAGGACTTCTCCCAAAAGTTTCATCTGACTGCCTGTTTTGTAATCCGAGTATCAACAAACCCCGAAAAAAGCGGAGTCATTGAAGTCTCCGGTACACGGAAATGGTGACGAGCAACTCTCCAGGGACGAGGGTTCTCTGAGTCTCAGAGGGTTGCAAAGGTTGCTTGGGAGCACCGTCATACGAGCGTGTCTGTTAAATACCCAGGGGAGTTAAAGGCATCCTCAACCGATAGGAGTTCTGTAGTTCCCATGATGCTGCAAAGTCCCACTGGACTGGGGAGTCACGAGAGTCCCTAGGAGCTGCGAAGGGCGCAATATATCTCCCACAATGTGGAGAGCCATGTGAACACCTGGGAGTTGAAATAAGCATTAGACGACACCTATAAAAGGAAGGGTGGTATGAACCCCTGGGAGTTATAAGGAGTGCCAGAAAACACCCCTAGTCAGGGTGATCACTTGACTCCCTAGGTGTTACTTAGTGAATTAAACAGCACGCTTAGTGAGGGGTGTCAATGAGTCCAAGGGATTCAAATGAGGTGCTAAAAGACCCCCCAAAAACGGGGTGTACTAGAACTCTCCAATTTAGGGGAATTACATGACTCGCCCGGGGAGTTATTTCTGAGACATCGCTTGACTCCCCTAAGGGGAGTACCAGTGTACACCTTTTTTTTTAGAGTGCACCGAAACAAGATAAAACCGCGGCGTTCCTCCGTTCCTTCTGAAAAAAGGAATGCGTACCAGGAACGTCGGTCCTAGGTTGAAACGACGTTTAATATATCTACGGTCATCATCTCAGTAGTGAACAGTTGTCATTCTTCACGATGTAGGGCCCGGGCCGTTCGACCTCCTCCTTGCAACGACCTTCCATAGGACGATATTCGGCTTGCTGTTTAGTACGGGAGTTTATCCGTTGTCACACTGCTAATACATCATGCAAAAGACAGCCTGCAGACAATGTCTCAGGCGTGCTCCTAGACTAAGGCTAGGTGGCGCAAGCTACCGCCCGTTACAAAGGGCATAGCAATTAACATCTATCCATCCATTCATCCATCCTTTCTTGTATGACGGTCACATTGTCCGTACAAAAGCTGTCTGCTGACATTTTCAAAGCATAGAAATGTTCGAAGCAGACATGCTTGGAACATGCCCGAGGCGTTTCTGCCGGTGCTTCTGTCGTCATGTCTGCAGTGAACACCGTGCCTTTTGTCTGATGTATGAGCAGTGGGATTGACTCTTATACTTAAGGCCACGGTCCCACTGAATGTGGCAGTTTAGGTACTTTTTGGCAGGTCATTATTCATCTCCTTTTAAATGCTGTTTGTGGGACTGATGTCATTCGAAAGGCAGTGCAATCCTCTTTCATTTGATATTACGTATGTGTGGGTTTTTACTGCTCATGCGCACTTGTAGCGTTGCGAATATGATGGGGCGGACCCTCACTTGCTCCGCTAGTTCATGTTTTACGAACGATCCATTAAAGATAACACGGTTCCAATATAGCAGTTTTGTTAAGATGATGTCGGAGCAGAATGTAACGATACACTTTTTTGGTATTTGCACTACTTTGTTTTTTTCATCCCTCCAAATACTGCCCTAAAATTGACATTTTTCAGCGCAAATATGTTTTTAATGACAAGCGCTAGGGCAATGAAATTATCTACATATGTAGTGCTTATAATTGGTAACATGCAGAAAAAAAATTAATGTTGTGTAAATTTTTTTGTTCAGATATTTTATATCGAACGTAGCACGTTTTTGTGCTTCGAGTCATGGTACTTCAAATGCCGCTGAGGAAATAATTAAACAATGATAAAATCTTTTATACCATTTAGAGCTACAATGGTTGCCCAAGGGGTGGACGATGGCTTTTTTTCATTTTCAAAGTCATAACGCTCCAGGAGCGTTTCAAACTTACCTGTTTTTGACGCATATCTTTTTTGGACATCAAACATATTTATTGGCATCTAATAACATTTATTGTTTGGAATAGATATACATTGGGATGTATTACATTTTCACAATGATCTTGCTTTGGTTTCTTAATAGGTGTAGAGCTTAGCTAAATTTAAAAACAATTAAAAACTGTTTGGGTGTTTTGTTGCGTTACCTGGCGGATGGCAGACAAACTGCTGATTTCTAGTGTTCAAAAAATTTCCGAGGGCGGCGTTGGCGTCTGTATCATCATCAATCTCCGTGTCTTTTTACCTTCACATTTAAAAAAATATATTGGAAGATTTACTATCGATAAATGAATGGTTTAAGTACTAAGTCAGGTTAATAAATCTAAGACAAATAATTACACGCGCGTAGCGTGATATAATGTGTTCGTTATTCGATATGATTGAAATCAATAAACAGTAAAGACGAAGAGGAAAGTAATACACCCGAGTTCACTTCATGCCTAGAGTCACTAAATGAGATTTAAAGTATCGGCACTTCGTTTCCCAAAATTGTTTTGGGCGCCGCCATTTTGGGTCTTGTTCAGAGTGAACGCAACTGCCGATCGCCATGATCCAAAAGTACGACTTCCTTAGCATTAGATGCGGTGCTAGGAAGCTGATGCAATATTGCAATGCTCTGTCGCGGGTTGTTTAAACATATCTGGGGGATGGAAAAGCGTTTCCTGTGATTTTAGATAAAGCTTCAGGTAACTGGCAACCATGATTTTAAGCCACAATATGGCCAAGTGTCGTTACTCTGAACCGTAGCTAATTTACTGGCACAAGCGGGAACAATAAGGAACAGTGAGCCATAGTATCATGAGTTCAAGGGGTGTGGTTCTTCGTCCGCCGAATATTGCTTCCAGGGGTGTTTTTACCGTGTAAGATGAGACCGGTCGCGTGCTGGTGGAACAACAACCTGGCGATTCTTCACTGAACTGCTTCTTCCGTAAGCTTCAAAAGGGCTTTTTTTTGTTTTTGTTTTTTTGTTTCGCACACCATCTGTTCTGCACGCCCGTTAGTTGCAGGATGGTATGGTGCACTAATGTGATGCCTGTTTCTTCAAGTTTTTTCTTCAAAAACTTGTTTATTTTGTTTGAAGCAAGATTGGCCGCGTTATAAGAGAAAAGTATTTTCGGTAGGGCAAAAGTAGGTAAAAGAGACCATAGAACGTCATTGACGTGTTTGGACGTCGTGACAGGCATCGTGTAAACTTCCAGCCACTTAGAGTACGCATCGCCCATGACTTCGCAGATGCGGATACGTTTCGCCACCCACCGATTGAATAGTGGATCGTTTTCAGTTACTGTTTATGATGGCGTTGGACTCAAGGAAGACTTCGAGTCTTTCCAGAAAGTTAGCCCAGGTGCCAGGACTTTTGTCGAAAGCGGTAAGTGTTCGAGACGTCGACAACATCGGTAGCCACATGTTGTGCTTGACACTGGACACTTACCATTCGCTGAGAAGAAACTTGCTTGTTCGTCTGCCACGAGTCGTCCGATACCAGGTCATCACCACAACACCATCTCCCGACAAAAACGCATGTCCATAGTTAGCAATCACGTGAACTTATAAATTCCCGAACGCTCATAACTTGCCGTCGCTAAACGCCGTTCATTCATGGCGTCATCAATGCAAATAAACGTCTTCCTATTTCTTCTGATGGTTTTCATCATATTCCTCCTAAGCTGTACTTACATTATGTGTGTCGATACTTCCGAAAATATTGCAACGGCGTTTGTTTTCTGGGAACCCCCCTATTATGTAATAACCTTTACAACATTTTCCGGATCTCGTAAAACACAATATTTCGTGACGTTATTTTAGTCATCATTAAAATGGTGAGGTAAGTACCGTAAATCGCAAAGCAGTTTACTTGACGTCCGCTGCCACTGGTATCTTGGAAGACTAACCGCCGAATTCATAGATCCCACTTCACTCGAACTTAACTTCCAACGCCCTTGAGTGGGTGTCATTACGTTTCATAAATCCCCCTTCACTCGAAACGCTCCCTCGCCTCGCACTTCACTCGGACTTTTCTCGAAAAAATTCAAGTGAGCGGTGGCACCGCCCTTCAACTACACTCGAGCCTCCCTTCATCGCAAAAGATGGCGGGTTACCCGGGTTATCGGAGTGATGCCGCTCGCAGGATCGCGTCTTTTGAGTTCGCTACTCGTGCGTGCGACCTTGTGTTCGGCGTTATGTACCCGCTCGGTCCGTCGGTGCCGCGGCGTAATCTATCGGACCGCCTGAACCCGATGGAGCTGTACAGTGACCGCCAGTTCCTCGCGAGATATCGCTTTACGAAGACGACGGTGAGGGAACTCCTGACGCTGCTGCCTCTCCAGCAAACCGGCGACAACCGAGGACTGCCGCTCACCCCCCTGCTCCAGTTGCTGGTCACCCTTCGCTTTTACGGCGCCGGGACCTTCCAGATGGTAGCGGGAGACCTGGTGCATGTCTCCCAGCCGACTGTCTGCCGCACAGTGAGGACGGTGACGACGCTCATCGCGAGGGTGCTCTTCCGAAGGCTGGTGCACTTCCCGGCTGCGTCGGAGTACCACGGCGTTATGCGCGACTTCTACGCAATGGGGCAGTTTCCTGGCGTCACGGGTTGCATCGACTGCACCCACGTGCGCATCAGAAGCCCCGGCGGAGATGATGCGGAAGTTTATCGCAATAGGAAAGGAGTCTTCTCCCTGAACGTCCAGGTGAGCTCATATTTCTTATACCCCCTTTATTGACGTAGCTTGCCTACTAAACTGCCAGGCTGGGAAGCATGGGTAATGCTCACGCAAAACGATTTCAGCTGTTCAACCCGATCATTGTAAAACATAGGGAAACCCTTTCATCAGCTGTGTTGTTGCTGCTTATTGTACACCTCTGGGCCCGCTCGAAATAGCCATTGCACAGCCTATACCTGGCTTGCATATGCGACGTTATTTACGGGCAACAGGCACGTAGCCAGCCCCGGGGGGGGGGGGGGGGGGGGGGGGCAGTTGTTTCACTTGTTTTCGAGCATGAGCCAACTGGCCCAAATTGCCGTATTAATGCAATGTTATATACCTGCAGGCCATCACCGGCCCACAGCTACAGTTCTTTGATGTTGTGGCAAGTTGGCCAGGATCTGTGCACGACAGCCGCATCTTTGATGGCAGTCGTGCGCGTGCCCTTTACGAGGAGAGCAGAGTGCCCGGCGTCCTGCTGGGGGATATGGGCTATGCCTGTCTCCCTTTCCTGATGACGCCGCTCGCAAACCCTGGAGCGGCAAATAGTCCCGGAGGGAGGTAAGCCAAATCATCGGCAGAAGTATAAGATTTGTTTTGGTACTGCACTGACAACATCACTAATGTCTGTAATAGCAGGCAGTCATTGCCGGTGACAAACAGTTCTTCAAGCGTTTCATGGACAGATCACTTCGCCGATATCCAATGTTCTTTCCTACCTTGCCGAACCCTTGGCGGTTTCGACAAGGCTTGGTGCAAGCTCGAACTTGAGATTATTTTAGCACCGAGATGTTTCAATGGCGCCCTGTTATGGTTTCCATCCGTGACGTCACGAGTGGGATTTGCCTCGACGTGACGTCACCAGTTGTTATCCTGTCTACTTACCATCAGGTGCGACGACGACTTCGGTGGTGTGTTTAAAAAGCACAGTGGAAGCTAGGAGTCATTGCAATCCGAAAGTAACACCGTCAAAGCTGACAATCTGACAATGCTCATATGCCCACGGTTTGGCCAATCGTCGAAAGCTGACCGCAGCGGCGCTTTTGGTCGCGCACATCGCTAATGAACCATTTCCCCTAGCAGAGCGGAGCAAAGCGAGGTGTGATCGTGTGGTCTGTTTAAGACATAGCTTGCCCCGCCGTCGGTGGTTCATTCACTAAAAAGTAAATTCAGTCTAATTTTTCTTTTTCAGCATTAGGCAAATGAAAAAAAAAATCATAAGATTTGACGACCGCGACCACTAAATTCAATCCACCTAGCAGAAGAAAACGTTTGTCGACGAAATGTCGCAAGAACGAAAAAGTTTCCATGAGATGTCAACAGTATCATGAAGCCGTGCGTGCACGAAAAGTTGTCAATAAAACATATCTAACCTCGACAAAAGAATGTCAACCTGTTATTTCCATACTGAAAAAGAAAATACAGTGATTGCAAGTATGTTCCCAGATGCCTAAAAATCGATCACATGCCTTATAATTTGATTTAGGTACAACAAGGCCCAGATCCGAACGAGGAACTCCGTCGAGAGGGCCTTTGGGGTTTGGAAGAGACGATTTCCCTGTTTGGATATGCGGCTCCAGCACAAGACTCGCCACTCATGCAGCATCATCACCGCGTGTGCGGCTTTGCATAATCTGGGACGTGCAAGAAATGAGCCCCTACCTCCTCCTCCACCCCCGCCACCAAGTCCCAGGGCACGGAATGCCAGAAGGCGGCGGCAGCCACACCTGCCACCGATTCTCCCGGAGGACTCTCCTTCGGGTCTGCGTATCCGGCAGAACATCATTCTGCTGAGCTTTACGTGAGCTGCACGTAGGCTCAAGAGGCCCATCACACAGGCCATGAAGGTGAGGAGTCGTACTTCCAAGTGTGTGATACTTCAGTTTGACTTTAAAAGTGAACCATCAGTAAAGCAGGCATAGCAGTTTGAATATGATTTATTGTGCAGCCTTCTGGCTCAGCTCCTGCAGCAGTATGTTTTCCTTGATACACAGGAGCTTCATCTCCATTTCGTGAATGGCATTTCTTTTTTTCAGCTCGTCCTCGCGCAATTTAATTTCCATTTCATGCAGCGCAGCTCTCTTGCTGAGTGCGTCGCGGTGGTCCTGTTCAAGGAAGTTGCAGCGCAGGGCATGCTCCTGCTGGACAAAGGCCATCCTCATATCGTTTTCCTCTGCGAGGCTCCTTTCCAGCAGCGCCATACGTCCTCCGACCTGGCGGGCACCACTGCCCACAGCTGCTGCCGCACTACCACTGTTGCACGCTGCAGCAGCCGCAGGTGTAGGAGCTGGTGACCCTGCAGTAGATGTCTGGCTAATCAGGCAAGCTGCTGGGGCTGCTGCAGGTCTATCAGCGACGCAGGCAGCCGCTGGTGACAGTGGTGCACCGACGTCTGAGGCAGGCCCAGCTGGTGAACCGGGCTCCTCTGCAATTGAAAGAACACGTAGAAGTTATGAAGTGAACAATGGGACATACATGAAGAGTAGAAAGGGTTTTTATAAGTTTGAGATTGTATTTTTGTTTTTCATGCAGTTGCAATTTGAAGTATTTGATTTTTTTTTTCTGCTGCTGATCTAATGTGTAACAATGTTTTCATCCATTTTGAACCTGTGCCATAAACTAGGCCACTAGATCACTTAACCGTTTCCACCTTTTGGAGTGCTTGGTATAGATATTTCTTGGCAGAAATCATGCTATGATTATTTTAATACCCTGTGCTGTTTGTTTCTTTGTCAGGGGAGTATGGTCATTGTTAGTCTGCAGTAGTTGCCATGTACTGTTTTGAAGCTGTATGGAACCCAGCCCTGCAATGATATATGTTACCTTGTACATAAGTAATGTACATGCTGTTCGCACCATTTGTTCATTTTTACTAAATTATCTTGAAATTGAATGTTGTCATGCACACTTTTTACTTTGTTATTGACGACACAGTCATCTGCAACAAGATTAATATTAGATGAGATGGTTGCTGCAAGGTCATTCATGATTATTAAAAAACGTAGGGGTGCCAGTATGTACTACTGAGGAACACCAGGTGAAACATTTCTGAAGGCAGACTCATTATGATCTATAACCGTATCCATGCATATCCATGAGAAGATCAGTGGGTAAAGACGAAAAGGTACCAGTTTAGAAAGTACAGGTCAAGACATGGAAACGGTTCAAGCATTCTACCCAAGTCGGCATCAAGAGGGTCCTCCTCGCCGTCCAGCATCGGCTGCAGTAGTCGGAGAACTGGGAGGCTGCAGACCGGGGGCAGATAGGGTGCCCCATCGCTGTCCTCCATATTTTCCTGTCTGTTGAACACGTGTGAGGCCACCGCCCCAACCAGCACGGAGGTGGCGCTCATTGGCTTGCCAGGTGGCCCCCCTCCTAAAGGAGCAAACAGTAGTCAATCTAGGCACTCCAAGTTCTAATGTTATCTAAGATCTGTTTTCCTTTTTAAATATACCCCGATTTATAGGCATGCATTTGCTGATAGGGAATGTTCATCCCCTCTGCCCCATGCGTAATGAAATGAAATATTGAGCATCTGGGTGTTGTCAGTTGTGATCTACTGTACATGTCCGCCGCAAAAACTGCAAGTAGAATTACTGATTTAACGGTAGTATTATATCGTGCTGCGGTTCCGTTCATGCTGCTCCATTGTCAGGTTACTACGGTATTCAACTGACAGCATTAGGTTGCATAACCGACTTGTCTGCGCACGTTCACGCTCCATCCCCCATGACAGGTATTCCAGAAACAACAGTTCGAAACAAGGGCGAATTTGTGACCGACAGTTCGGGCTACAAATGTGACCCATCGCTCATTCCGAGGCACTTTCAGCGCGATGAGAAACCTGAACGAGAGACTTGCCTGTTTTGTGGACCTTGTTTTTTTCTTTGGAATGGTCTTTCTTCGCTTTGGTCTTCACATTTTCCCACCATTTTTTTAGCTGTTTCACGTCCCGTCGATATACACCGTGGTTGCAGTTATACTCGTTGCAGAGTCGAATCCAAGTTGCCTTTTTTTTGTTTAACGACGATTCGTCGGTCTTTTTACATTCGATGATTTTTTTGTACGTCATTACAAGTTCCATCAGTATTGCCTTTTCGATCTCTGTGAACCGCGCAGCGGGTGCCTTGGCCTTATCCATTACACGCTACGGAAATGAAAACTTTAAAAGAACAAACCAGCAGGGCAAGTAAACACGAAAAGGCAACGGCGGTGGTGGCGTTGGAACAAGGATATCGGAAGGACTTGGAATGTATTCAGCATGGATATTGATGGCTATATTGCTGGCCAATTTAGTTTGAAAGAAGATGCACGAGCTACGTTCGTTTCTGAAATCGCAACATGTTTGTTATGTGCTAATATTTCTTTATAAACACAAATTATGTAAACACACTAAGAATTAACTTACTTTTGTGGTCTTACGCAAAGTATAAATATAAATTTCTTTTCTACTCTCGCTCCCGGACGCATCCCGTAGAAGGGCTCCCTTCACTTGCTCGAGTGAAAGCGAAGTGCCATTTCAGAATGGTAAACCTCACTTCAAGTGGAAGTGCCCCTTCAACCGCCCTTCTGTAAGTGAAGGGTCGCCCTTCACTTGGCATAGAGTGCCTCCATACACACGCGCGCTTTTGCTTGAGTGGAGACATCTCAGCCATTTTTCCGCCCAATCGTTTTTTTATGCATTTTTAAGTGCGCGCAATCCGGTGTCACTCAGCTCGAGCGCGTCGCTTTGGCCAATGCATAGACGCCATTTTACCGCCCAAGCCACGCACTGGGTGCGCGAGAGCGTCACGCGCTGGCACATTCAGGGCAACAATGGATGTCTTCACCCTGAGACAGACAGACATGTAGGCACCCTAACTTGGCATGACTCGGAGTGACATCTATGAATTCGGCGGTAAGTCTACTGAGCGTGCATTCCTGCAGAATAAATATTCATTGATAGAATATTGACACGGTCAATCAACATTTGATTCTTTCTGGGTAAGATTTATTGCGAAAGCCCGTTACAACCGCCGAACCGCATGCCCCTATATCAGAGAACAATTTATACCCAGCCTGACATTTTCGCATACATCCGTTTGCTGGGCCACGCTACTTGAGCTAGCTGAGCACAGCTGGCAGCGGCGCGAGCAAGGCCACGAGGGGAACGTGATGGTGCTCGAGCCATCCCACTGTGAACCAATGTTTCGGCCACCCCACTAAAGCCCCTTGATAAAAGCGTTTTTTACAAGTACCGCCAACCATTGTTGTGGAAGCGCGCGAGACACGTGCCATGAGCGGGTGCTCCGCCGCCATTCGCTTCCAAGGCCCGCTCATTTCAGTGCTGCGCCGCCATTTGCTTCCAGGGGCCGCTCGAGACATGGGCCTCGTGCACTCGCGCATTTGACGCTACTTGCAAGACAAGCCCAAACACATCGAGGGGCTTTACACCCCACGGGTGCGTGTCGCCATCTATTGGTTGGACTAACGCCTTGCTCATGATGGCTGCCGTGGGACCGCAGCCTTAAAGGGGTCATGAAATGATATCCGGTTGGAATGTTCAAGACTTTACAGAGGCGGACTGGTCCTAGATTGGCCCAAGTATACTCGCACGGATCGCCACCGATTCCGAAGTTTCTTGGTGGCGATGAAATTGCGAGGATAAAATGAACCATGGTTGAAAAAACCCCGAGACTGCGGGTAAACGACACAACACTAAACAAGTCTTTTAGAGACTCTTTAGTGTTGTGTCGTTTACCCGCAGTCTCTGGGTCTTTTCAACCATGTGCAATGTACACCAGCTCGTTTGCGCCCTTACTTTTTGTTCATAAAATGAACCATTTTTTCAGTCTCGCCTTCACGAAGCTTGATGACGCAATTGTGGGATCGAAACCACCCGCCTGACGATAGTCGCGCGCGGCTCATGGATTGGACACGAGCACTGCGTGAGCAACTCGACTTCGGCTCCTAACAATCAATGCCTCGGCGGACACTCGGGTAGTGGTTCGTGTCCAACCACTGCGGTGATGTGAACAGCCGAACTTTAAGATTTCCGGAGCTCGGCGCGCGCTTTCTACTTTGCCGACCCCCCGCGTGGATAAATGATTAAGGTTGGCGGCATAGGATAGGCACCAGGCCACGTGGCCTCTTTTTCTGGTTCCGAGTTGAGGGGATGAACAATGCTTATATTTATTGCTTCGAAAAAAAACAAACAACTAAGTCAAGTTTATTTAGTTATTAAGGTTAGGGAGTGATTCTGAGTAGTATTTAGCGAAAGTAAAAAAAAAAATAGTTGCATGGCCTTTTTAAAAAAGTCTGAATACGATATGCAGTAAACACGTACCTGCACCAATATTTAAAATTTGGCTGCCATTAATAGTGCATTCGGTATGGCCTTGCTTGAATGCTAATTGGAATTATGACTCCTCCTCCCCCCCCCCCCCCCCCCTTTGCGCCCCTATACACCAGAATCAGGGCAGATGAGCTCTTCAGTTTTATCCGAAACCATTACAACCGCACACCACATTACAAGCGCACACCAATGAAAGCTGCATTTCGCTCATCA